CAGGCCTGCGGGGCTGTGGCCTGGGAGGACGGCGCCCTCGTCTCTCACCTGCGTCCCCACCACGACTATCTGAGGCAACTGGATGATGTCGGCGCCCACGGTATTGAAGACGTCCTGGAGCTTGTTGATCACAGGAATTAGCGCCTCCATGACTCCGAGAACACGGGACCCCCGCCCGGCGGGCCGCGGCAATGAATGGGGCCGGGGCCCAGATTCCGCCTCCTTCCTCCTCTCCTCCGCCCTCTCCTCGGGAGCCGGCACCCATTGGTGACCGCCCGGCTGCTACCTGCCCACTCCCGGCAAGCCGTGCGCCAAGAGGGAGGGAGCCAGGAACAAAGCCTGCCGGGAGTTGTAGTTCTGCAGCGGAGGAACGCCAGGGCCTACAGCTTCCAGAAGGCTGCGCGGCGCGGGCGGATCCGGAGCCGGAGAGAGAGGGATGCTTGTTATTGGGTTAATTTCCAGGCTCTTCTCAAAAGGTTAGGGAGTGAAGCCTGGAGAGTAGGAGGGAAGAAATGCATTTATGCCTGTGCTTGAGGCGTATTGGGTGGGGAAATGCCGAATATGTGTTAAGTACAGCTGAACCTCTTGATTACCCAAGATGTCAGTAAGGACGGATGGGAAAGGCTTAACTAACTCCTAGCCTCAGACACCCCTGCCAGGTGCAAAAGGTCTGGAGGCTGATAGTAGAGGGCATGGGGTGCTATTTTGCAAAACTAACAACAAAACCAGCCCGGATTGAACACGGTTCTCCAGGATTTTTGTAAAAACGTGTTCAGGAAGAAAGTGTCCGAGTTTTAGAGGGGAAAGGCAGAGTCCTAGTTCTCTATATTCGATGTAAAACGTTATTTGCTGTGTGGCCTGATTCCCTACAAAGTGGAGATCTGATAACTGCCTTACTAGCTTTTTGCTAAGTGTGCCTACTGTTCTATTCCTAAATGTTGTTTTTCTTTTTAGGCAGATAGTATCTCTCTTCTCCAAGCCTCCAAGGTTTCCTATCTCACAGTAAAAAAAAACCGGTGACATTTAAGCAAAGATCCAAAGTAGGTGAGGAGAAAGACCCTTTCCTACTTTACTTACCTCCATTGCATGTGTCTCCATCTAGCATGCAACACATTGAACTTGTTTACACTCTCTCACTTTTACTACATTGTCAGCTGCTAGCAGCCAGAGATTTTTTATTTAATTCACTGATGTATCCCTAGAAAGCCCCTAGAAAGTGTCAAGGGAGTCGAAATCGCAACTCCTTTGAGTTTACAATCTAACAGAGGACCATTATAAATCAATGGGTAGTCCTATAATTGGGTGTATTATGGAGCATATAGTCTAAGAGGGAGGAAAGTTCAAGCAAGACTAGACTTAATCCCCAGGAGGGCAAGGGCCACCAGCAGTGCGGAAGTTGTGCACTACACAACTTCAGTAGATTCCATTCACCAGCACAGCCATCCACAGTCGCCCTGGAGAACATGCTTGATGGTGGGTACTCAATACATACTTTTGAACAAATGAATGAAACTAAGACCTGAAGGTCCACTAGTGGTGCTTTGGTATCTTATCAAGTTTTATGAACAATTCCTTCTTTGATTCTTCTGAAAAACAAAACTTTCAGAGACAAAGTGAGAAAACATTTTCAAAACTCAAAAAAAAAAAAAAAAAAAACAGACCAAAGATGGGGTAGGCTCATGGCGACACTCCATGACCATAACCAGGAAGTGTTTCATAGGGGCAAGCTGCCCTGGGGCAAAAACGATGCCACTAAAACCTTTTCCCTTATTTGTGGCAC